CTCCTAACCTCCGCCTTTTTAGCTTCCCCTCTCTGTTGAATTTCTCTTTTCTTTTGCTTTCTAACATTGTATTGATTTTGCATCTTATTTTTCTCTTTCTTGGGTGTTTTTTTTAGGTCTTAAGTCCTTCATTTTCCTTCCTCTCTTTCTCCTTTCTTTCTTAATCAAATTTTTGGATTCATTAAAGATGGCTTCTTCTTCTTCTTCTGCTTCCTCCATCAGTTGTTGTGTTTGCTGATAAATAGCAAGCACCATTTCTAAAAAGCGAAAAGTTTTTCTCAAAGCGTCCTTGCCTTCTTTCTTTATTTTTCCATATTCGTCTCTTAGTTCATCAACGGATAAAGCCATTATAAACCTTTTCTTCTTTTTTTCCCCCTCTTCTTCTTAAAACAGCCAAGATATTTCAAAGCTTAAAACAATTCCCCAAAGTCCCAGAGTCATCAAGCAGTCCAAACAGAGCACAAAGTTCTTCCCTTCACACTTTTTCTTCCTGGGGTAATATCAATTGAAAAAAAAAAAAAAGCCCAGTCTGTATTTTAAAGCCTTATTGCAATTAACTTCTGGTCTCAAAGTCTTCCAGGCATCTCCTCCAACAAGATCTTGATATAAATTTTTCTTTTGTCCTCTCCATTCCCACTTGTAACAAAGAGCTTTAAATTTTTACCTTCTATAAGAAAGCAGGTTTTTCAATGTCCATTTGTTAATTCCATAGGGAAGGAGAGTAAACTTTCTCTTTCAACACTTTCATTCGCTGCTTATAAATCTCCTCTGGAAACAAAGTATCGTTCAAAAAATCAAGGTTTTCAGGATGTTGAATGCATCTTAGGATCCCGGTTCAGCCAAAGAACTTTCACTTCAAAACTTTCTCCTTCTTCCTCCAGCACGATCTTGTCCAGCTGCCGGCTTCTTTGTGGCGGCCATTACTGACCGCCGCTCCACCGCCTTGAGAAAAGGGGGTTATGCCGGGTGGGGAGGGGGTCTGCGATACCCCCAGACCCCTGTCCGGATCCCCCTATCTTCGGCTGCCTCTACGGGGCAGCCTTATCCTCCAGACCCATCAGGATTGGAGGCACCAAGACGGCTAGCGCAACAGGGATCGCGAATCCCCACCTGGCAAACCGGAAGTCTATTTTCTGCATGTTCTTTTCAGTCATACCGTGTTCTTAAGGTGAATGTTATGTTGTGTTGCTTACGTACAACTTCTGGCTTGCCACAAATTATTGTTGCTGGCCTATCCTTTGAAGCACGAATAGCCTATTCTTAAAACATTTTTTGGAACAAGAACTGTGGTGGCTGGACAGCCAGGATTTTCTCTCTTTTTTTCCCATGATTTTGGGAAAAGCCTTGGGATTTGTTTTTTATTCATTTTTAAACTGTATTAAATATAGTTTAGGACTTGCAGTAAAGTTTGCATGTTTCCTGTCTAAAATCATACAATATACTAATATTACTGTTAACTATCACTGAGCATCCTCAAAATAAATCTGGATGACACAAAAGAAAAAAAAAGATAAAAGGAAAATGAATTAGACCTCAAACTCATAAACTCATAGACTCATAAACTTTCAAATCCTGCATAAAAGCAGCATTTTCTTCAGGGTATTTTTTTTTCTATCATAATAATTTCATGATCAAAGTGTGCTCAAAGGTCCGTTCTCCAGAAATGGAAAAGATGGATTTAGTTGAGTTTATATGACTATGAAGAAAAACACTCTGTTTTAGTGTCTGTTTTAACTTTTTTCCTTACTACTACAGAATTATTAATGTATATATACAAAAATGAATTGTAAGAGTTATTTTTTTTAATTGTAGGTACTGTGAAATCTTTTTAATATGTAAATATGATTCTTTATAATAAATAAATTATTTGGAGGACGAAGATCATCCACTGCTAGAAATGTTCTAATTATTTTGTAACAGGTGTGGTTATTAAAACTTTTTTCAAAGTGACTTTCTATAAAGAATGAATAATAAAAACACTTTCTCATATTTTTTGAAATTCTAAAATGGTGAAATATATATTTAATGGGAGAACATTTCATATGTTGGAAAGTGTCTCTGTTTGTGATGGAAGCATAGCCAAACTGTGGATCAATGAACACATGAGTTCTGCATAAAGTGATGGTACTGGTAATGACAATGGACAACTCCTAAAGAATCCAACTAATGGCAAGGTGTGTAACGATTAAAGAAGATAATTATTATAAATTGGCACAACAAATTAAAACTGATTTGGAGAAGTGGAAAAATCTACAACTATCATTGATGGGAAGAGTAGCCACCATAAAAATGAATATCCTGTCAAGATTACTATATTTATTTCAAACAATACCAATAAAACTGGAGAAAAAATATTTTGAAGAATTAAATAAAACAATATTAAAATATATCTGGCAAGGGAAAAAAAGCAAGGATAAACTTGAAAATGTTGCAAGATTCTAAAAATAGAGGTGATTTTGGGCTACCAGATTGGGAATTGTATTATCAGGCTTCGACACTTACATGGGTGAAAGAATGGATTGGACTGAGAAACAAGAGACCAAAATACATAGCCATTTCCAAAGACATTATGTTAGGAATGCATTATTATTAGTATGGGAGAAAATTAAAGAACATTATTTGAAAATACCGATCTGGCTTTCCACAATGGAGGCACTGATTTATCGAAATGTTATTGATATAATGTTACCAGATATAAAGATATTTTAAATGAAAAGGGGGAACTTAAAACTAAACAGAAACTGAATAATCAAGGGATTGAGATAACATGGTGGTCATATGTGCAGATACAATCTAGATATAAGGAAGATGTTAAAATGTATGGTTTAAATAAAGAATTAACAGAACTAGTTCAGATATTAACAGGGACAGATGAGATATTAATAAAGAAAATATATGGCTATTTGTTAAGTATCAATATGGAAGAGGGCTAAAAATTTTGGCTATTTGATTGAGTTAGATCAATGGCAAAAAATATGGAATAGAAATTATAAATTAACAATGTCTACTGCATACAAAGAAAATATTTATAAAATGTTTTTAATAGATGGTATTTTCTGCCCTCAAGGTTAGCAAATATGTTTAAGGGTAAATGCAAAATGTTGGAAATGTCACCATATACCTGGTTCATACTATCATATGTGGTGGACATAGCAAAAAGTGAAAAATATTGGACATACATGGCTTGAAAAAATGATAAAGCAACATATAGATTTGAAACCAGAAACATTTTTGTTGGGCATTTTACCAGACAGGCATAACAAAGGGAATGTATATCTGATTTAACATGTATTGACTGCAGCAAGAATAGTATTTGCACAACAATGGAAAAGTGAAGATATCCCAACAGGTGAAGATGTGATTAGAAAAATATTAGAATGTGCAGAAATAGATAAGCTTACAATTAAGAAAAAGGAAGAAACTGAATATTTTTTGATTTAGGACTTATTTTATCAATGGTTAGTTGACAAAAACAGGAGCTAGAAACAGGGAAATATATGAAAGGATTAGTGATATAAGGAAGATACGTTAACTTGTTAAACAAATAGTATTATTGTTATTAATATTAATGTAATTGATACTAATGCAATGAATATTATTGTAAATATTATTTCCTAAAATGATTTGTAGCCACACAACTGTTCAATTGAAATTGGAATTTTCATATGCTATAAAAGAAAAGAAAAACTTATTACAAAAAAAAGAATTTTAAGCAAATATCCACATATTCTGAGGCAAATGAGAAGGCAGGTATCTCAAACATTACAACTGACATATCGGTTTTAACTAAATTGGGATTAATTGAAATGTGCTTGTTGTGTATGAAATTCTTGACACAAGCAAGAAATATCTGTCTTTTTCTTTCCTTTTCTTTTTTTTGAAACCATCTAGAGCACCCTATGAATCCATTTCATTTCTCTGTCTGAAGGTTTTGTTAAGAAACATAAATTGGCTTTGGCAAAACTGTGTATTCTCATGTGAACACCTGTGAACTGTTGAGTTTAATTGGGCAACAGCTGGTGCTGATTGAGAATTTTCTTGCTGTATCTCATTACATTTCTGAATTTGGCATTTGTGGGAAGGATGTTATTTACAAAAGCTTGAACACATTTTAAGAACTTCAAGGAAAATTATTAAAACAAATTCTGAGAACACTTGTGCACAGACTCCTTTTCTCATCCATTCACCTGAGTTATGATCAGTGTAGACAGTTATGTAGGACGGCATTAGATATTCTGGCATGATCAAATCTTTTGATTTCAATTGTTTAGGCTGGATGTGAAAATAACTCCTCATACTGTATAATAAAGAATATAGTAAGTATTCCAAAAATGACAGATAAAAGATGACCATGTTTTATACCAAGCAAAACTGTTAGATATCTTAATTCAGACATTTTTATGCAACTGGGAGAAACGTTGCAGGTGCAGTTCTATCAACTCCTGCTCAATTATGGCAGAAGATATTCTGGTCTTCTTTCAACACTTTTGTCCCAACCTTTGTGGCCACCTAAGGCATTTGTGAATTGCTCTAAAAATAACTCACATCAGTGTAGAGGAAAAAAATCTGTTAGACAGGAAGGAAAAGTAAAACATAGAGACTGATTGAAGCAGAACTCTAAGCACATGGTGCTTATAAGTAGTATTCTGAATAACAGGAAGCAAGCTTCTTATAATCTTCTTAGCTGTCCTTACCACTCTCTGTAATGGACCTTCTATCTGATACACTGCTACCACCAAATCAAACAGTAATACAGTTTGTTAAAATGTTCTCAACTGTGCCTTTGTAAAAAGTGGCCAGGATAGAAGGAGAAAGATATGCTTTCTTCATACGACATAGAAAATGCAAATGCTGGTTTGCACACTTCACTAAAGATAACATATGAAGAGACCAAGTCAGATTGGTAGCTATTTGCACCCTCAAATACTTAAAACTGTTGACTACCTCCACGGCTGTAGCTTGATACAAAGTGGACTATGATTATGCCAGCTCTTTCTAAAATCAACAATGATCTCCTTTGTTTTATTCACATTCAGAACCAGGTTATTTTTATTGCACCGGTCCACCAAGGCTTCACCTCTTCCCTATAAGACTCTTTACTGTTATGTCAGGATAAGACCTACCACTGGTGTGTCATCTGCATACTTCATAATATGATTCCTAGCAGACTTGGCACAGTAGTCATGGGTCATCAAGTTGAACAGTAACAGATTCAAGAAACAGCCCTGTGGGGAATCCGCACTTAAGGAGATGAAATTGGAAAGTTTTCTTCCAACTCGTACAAACAGTGGACTATCAATAAGGAAATCAAGTATCAAGTTGCATAAAGTTACAAATCGAGTTACATAAAGAAGTATTAAAACTTCACAGGCCCAGATTGTTCACCAAATGTTGAGGAATGATTGTATTAAACGCTGAACAAAAACCAACAAACAGCATTCACATATAAGTATCGTTTCTCCAGGTACACCAAATTAAGATGAAGTATACAATCTGTTCTTCTGATAAGCAAAATTGATGAGTCAAATGTATGGTGAAGTCTTATATTATCTTTATAAGGACTGCTTTGAATACAACTTCTTAACAAAAACTATTGGTAAAATCTGGATTCTTCCTTCTCTTCTAGTGTATTGCTAAGACTAGTTCTTCAAATCAGGGGCCCACATATGAATGTGTTAACTACAAACTGTAGGATTTTTTTTCAGAATTATTACTTATCTAACCTTATATTAATTCTATTAATTATATTTAAAGTTATAGTTATTATTGTGTTATTTGGTTTTTGCAAAAAGACAAAATAAATTAAAAATATATTCATCAACATTTAATTATGGTCACAAAACAATATTGTTACTTATGAGTAACTTGGGTAACAAATTACTTTTATGAAAATATAAAACAATTTATATTTTGAAAGAAACACTTTAATCTTAACCCATTATTTTCTATTTTATATATAAGACAAGGAAAACTGCTCTGTATTCCTTGGTTACCAATGGCTTAAGGCTCATACTTTTATTTTATTAAGATATTTAAATAATTGCTTGGATTGGGAAAGACAAAGTGCTCATGTTGACTAGAATTTCTGAAAGCTGTAATGTAGCAGATTATGGAGGATGTAAATTCTCCACCAATTCTTATTTCTTATTATTTGTTTATATAAAGCACATTTTCTTACAGTACTGGTCATGCAAAACAATGTCCCATAATATTAATAAAACACTACATGTAATATAAAGTACAATGAATGATTATAAATGCTGCATTTGTTTCTATGAACCACATGGAACCACCACTCAGAACATTGGAACTTACATCCTGAAATCTGATCCATCTGGATGAACTTTCAGCTGAGTTTTGATGACAATAAAGAGAATTGCTCACAAAGAGATGGTAAGCATCTTTTATTTTCTGCACATTTTCTCAAGAATTAAAATACACAGAAGTGGCTATAAGTGCATTTTTATATCATCTCACTAAGTATTCTCACAGCAACTCAATCCTACAAGCTAAATTACCATTCTTTGCCACTCATAAGAGAACCAGAAGTTCAGAGAGAAGATATTTGGAGTGCTGACCTTGCCAAGAGCAGAACAGCTTGGAGTGGGTATACACAATAGTAAATGACAAATGAAAATAGAATTATTGTAGGAAAGAAAAAAGGGAGAAATGAAAGATCATGCTGTGAAATTAAATAGATGCCTATTATCAAGTGTCATTCTCAGAAAGCCCCAAGTGAATAGACAAAGCTATAAATATGTATTTTTTCTGATAAAAGAATAACCAAGTCCAAATACTAAGAATGTAATTCATTTTATAGCAATAGGCTGAAATCAGAAATTGCTAAAGACTAAGAATTCTAGAATTTAACCTAAGAAACTAGTTGTATAAGCAATGGAAAAGGCATAGATTTTCAATTTTATAGAACAGAGGTGTGAATATTTGTCTGTAGTAGTTTGAAGCATTGGAATCATCCAAATTTCTGGTAAGTAAATATGTAAATATTCTGTTTTGAACTACCTATGTTAATGCCTAATAACTTGTATATTTTTTCAGGCTTTATTTTGTCATTGCTTCTGTTTCATCCTTTTTATCAGAGAAAGGAAACTTTTTAGATTTCAAACCCAATCTGAATAATTCAAACCATCAGGAGGACATCAAATGATTTATCCAAGATCTGGATGAATGCATAACTTATGTAAACTCTATTTTTAATGTTAAAGTTTTATTTGTTTCTTCTACTTCCTAAATCAGTGGTAATTGTTCCAGTTCAATTTATTTTAGAGATATAATGGTCCATTGCCTCAAACAGAGTTTGGAGTTTGGTGAAAGGACATTCATTGATTTATTCATTGAAAGGAAGATCGCTATCATTTCCATCACTGTAGGTAATAAATATTGGACCAACTCTGATAACTGTCACTAGATTGTTTTCTTTTTTTGCATTTTAAAAATCAATGGTTTAGAAGTGTCAGGCACAAAGAATCAGAATCACATGTTAAGTTCCAGTTAAGCTGATTTATTGCTCATGTCTATACACAAGACTCTAGTCAACTAATAGAACTAAATTGGCGCTAGATAAGGGTTAACAGAATTCAATGGAGCTGGACTTGGATCACTTGTGGGAATGTAATGATTCCAGGCAGTTTCCTCACTTGGCTCTACCCCTCCCTGGCTCTGCTTCTTTCCCTCCTGTAGGAAGTAGGATATCAAGAAAATGTCCTGATTCCAATGTCCTACTATTTATTTAATTTTTTCTTTCATTTCAATATTATCAACAGAATAATGAATATTCTTGAGTCCTTGAGGAGACAACCACCCATCATATTAATGTCCAGTGGTCAACT